CAATGACTGCAAGATAGCTAATGTAATGCCAATATTTAAAAAGGGCTCTAGAGGCGATTCTGGCAATTACAGACCAGTAAGTCTAACATCAGTACCGGGCAAATTAGTTGAAACAATAGTAAAGAATAAAATTGTCAGACACATAGAAGAACATAATTTGTTGGGCAAAAGTCAACATGGTTTCTGTAAAGGGAAATCATGTCTTACTTATCTATTAGAGTTCTTTGAAGGGGTCAAGAAACATGTGGACAAGGGGGATCCAGTAGATATACTGTACTTAGATTTCCAGAAAGCCTTTGACAAGGTCCCTCACCAAAGGCTCTCACGTAAATTAAGTTGTCATGGGATAAGAGGGAAGATCCTTTCATGGACTGAGAACTCGTTAAAAGACAGGAAACAAAGGATAGGAATAAATGGTAAATTTTCAGAATGGAGAGGGGTAACTAGTGGTGTTCCTCAAGGGTCAGTCCTAGGACCAATCCTATTCAACTTATTCATAAGCGATTTAGAGAAAGGGGTTGGCAGTGGCAAAGTTTGCGGACGATACTAAACTGCTCAACATAGTCAAGGCCAAAGCAGACTGTGAATAACTTCAAAAAGTTCTCACCAAACTGAGTGATTGGGCAACAAAATGGCAAATGAAATTTAATGTGGATAAGTGTAAAGTATGCACATTGGAAAAAATAACTCCAACTATACATACAATATGATGGGGGCTAATTTAGCTACAACTAATCAGGAAAGAGATCTTGGAGTTATCATGGATAGTTCTCTGAAAACGTCCACGCAGTGTGCAGAGGCAGTCAAAAAAGGAAATAGGATGCTAGGAATTATTAAAAAAGGGATAGAAAATAAGATGAAGAATATCTTACTGCCCCTATATAAAACTATAGTATGCCCACATCTTGAATACTGTGTACAGATGTGGCCTCCTCACCTCAAAAAAGTTATTTTGGCATTAGAAAAGGTTCAGAAAAGGGCAACTAAAATGACAGGATGTTAGGAATCATTAAAAAAGGGATAGAGAATAAGAGAGAGAAGATCTTATTGCCCTTACATAAATCCATGGTACACCCACATCTTGAATACTGAATACAGATGTGGTCTCATCTCAAAAAAGATATACTGGCATTAGAAAAGGTTCAGAGAAGGGCAACTAAAATGATTAGGGGTTTGGAACTGGTCCCATATGAGGAGAGATTAAAAAGACTGGGACTTTTCAGCTTGGAAAAGAGGAGACTAAGGGGGGATATGATAGAGGTCTATAAAATCATGAGTGGTGTGGAGAAAGTGAATAAGGAAAAGTTATTTACTTGTTCCCATAATATAAGAACTAGGGAACTCCAAATGAAACTAATGGGCATCATGTTTAAAACAAATAAAAGGAAGTTCTTCACACAGCGCGTAGTCAATCTGTGGAACTCCTTGCCTGAGGAGGTTGTGAAGGCTAGGACTATAACAGGGTTTAAAAGAGAACTAAATAAATTCATGGAGGTTAAGTCCATTAATGGCTATTAGCCAGTAATGGTAAGGAATGGTGTCTCTAGCCTCTGTTTGTCAGAGGGTGGAGATGGATGGCAGGAGAGACCTGTTCGATTCACTCCCTCTGGGACACCTGGCATTGGCCACTGTTGGCATCGACAGACCTTTGGTCTAACCCAGTATGGCCATTCTTATGTTCTCTGTTGGGAATATATATATTTAGCTTTGGCCTAAAACAGACAGCTAAAAGTTGCTGTACTCAAAGTACAACTGAACTTGGAAAGATCTATGAACACTTCAGGCTTTAATAAATTTCCTTTCCTTTCAAACTGCAACCGTATTATTATTCAATTTTCTGTTTAGAAACTCTCTGTGTGTGCTCAGCGCCAAAATACAAACTACTAAGTGGACTAGAAAATTTATAAGAAGAAACTAGATATTTTTCTAGCATAGTGGTACCATGCAAGTTATAGTCAGGCAAAACTAGCAACAGCGTCAGAGACAGTACCATAGATTCATACCTGCAGCAGATTCTAATTCTAATTCACTTTTTATGTTTGTCTGACCAAAAGTGGCATTAGACAACCTGCCTAGTATTTTTCACAGATGAGAAAAGCAGAACAGAAACAAATGCCAGCAGGCATACAGCACATAGCTAGCATCTGGATGTCAGAAAGACCAGCTGTGCCTACCTTCAACACCAACCACACACAGAAAATCTTTGTAAGAACAGACACTAGCTTGAAAGAAGTTAAATTAGAGGCTGTATTGGCAAAAGGTGAACTGGAATATGGCCCAGGGCTCCTAGTCAAACACAATTACTGTACTGAATACATGCAGTATGTCAAAAGTAAAGGGCTGTCCAGGTTTTGTTTTTCTTTTGCTGAGGTTAACATTAAAAGTAAGCATTCCTATCTATGTACGTATATAGCCCTCATCACCAGCAGCACCTACCAGCAGCAGGAAAAACATAAAACTGGTAGTCTAAGATTCCAGTCTTGGCAGGCAAAAAAGACAACCTGCAATTTACCTTTAAAGATGTATTTGTACTTTAAAAAATGTATTCACTTAATGTTTGGGTGCTCCAACTGTTTTTTCCTTTTTTTTATTTTCAGTTTTCCCCCCTAATCATCTGATCAAGCTAACTGAGTAAATGAATTCCTCTACTTATGCCTCAGATTATTTGACCTCCTAAGGAAAGCTCCTTGAAATACATCAGCTTAAGTAATCACAACCACTAGAATGCTGAAGTCATGCTTTCCCATGAAATACCAAGGGCTACTCAACACATGGCCCACAGCCCGTTTGTTTGCAGCCCATGGTGCGGTTTGGGTTTAAGCGGGGCTCAATATGCAGCCCATGGGTGGGAGCCAAAACAAAAACGTGGTTGATAAAATGGTCTTCTGTTGATATGCGTATTAGTAGTTAAATTCTTGGACTATCATTGCTCATTAAAAGTGCTATCATATGAGTGGAAATCAGGTAAATATTGCATTTTATTAATATCAACAGAACTGACTTAAATGGGCCATGCGTGTTGTGTAGTCTTGCCTTAATCTTTGTATTCATGCCCATCAGTGTGAAAGAAGCTATTTGAATATATTTGTATATATATTCGCATATATATACTACCACACTTAAGTTGTGGTCCCCAGCATGTGCTGTGTGTATCATTGTGGCCCCCAAGGCTTCCAAAGTTGAGTAGCCCTGAAATAAACTATATTTCAGCAATTCAGATACACAGGGACCTCTGCTAAATAGGGCTACCAGGTGTCTGGTTTTTAACCAGAAAGTCTGGCTGGCAGCTGTTAAAAATCCAGTAAGAGGCACAGCAGAGCTAAGAAGCCTCCCTGCCTGCCATGGCTCCCAGAAGCAACGTCATGTCGTCCCCCCTCTCTGGATCCTATGTGTAGAGGCAGCCAGGGAGCTCATCATGCTGCCCCATCCCAAGAGCTGTCTCCACAGAACTGTAGCCAATGCGAGTTGCAGGAGTGGTACCTACAGACAGGAGCAAAGAGCAGAGCTGCCTGAAAGTGTCTTCGGGTAGGAACCAGAGAGAAGACATGCTGCTGTTTCCAGGAGCTGCTGAAGGTAAGTGCCTCTCAGAGCCTACACCTTGGAGCCCACTAGGGATGTTCAATTTTGAGCAATCTGCATTAACTATTTGATTAATCGATAGGCTGCCTCCACCTTTGAAATTGCTGCTGTTATACTTCAAAGGTAAAAGCGCTGCGGAGAACACGTGGCCTGCGGGGCAGTCCCCTGCTGGTCTAGTGCTCCTCACGGTGTTTCAAAGTGGCAGTACCGCATGGATGTGTGGTGCTGCTGCTTTGAAATGCCGCGTGCAATATTAAAAAACCTTGGTATGGGCTGTTAATTGCATCATAATGAGCTTCTAAAGCAGTAATAGGAAACCACTGGCCCTCGTGGGCCAGATTCAGCTTCCTGCTTAATTTGATCCAGCCCACAGCAAATCTCCAGGCCGTGGGCCACAAGACCTGAGCCTCGGCACCACCATACAAGGCGCAAGTGATGATACCCCAAGCCTATTACCACTATTAGGTGAGTTGAGTAAAAGTTTTTTTTTGTGTGTGTTTGTGGGTAGCCCCCTACTGGTTTTTCTGTGGGTCAATGGCCCCTGAAAGAAAAAAATGTTCTCCAAACCTGTTTTAAAAGGCCATTATATGAAGCAGGTGCAATAGAAGGACTGGGAGATTCAAGGACATATCAAAAAGTAGGTGGTTCTAATACAGAAAGTGCATCTTCTTGACAGTCACTCCTGAGTTTTACGTGTCTGCAGAGTAAATCATTGATATTTGGAAAGCTTGCCTCAGTGTCTCAGCTCTTGACTCCAAAACAACACTGCATTGCACTGAAAATGGTCATGCCCAAATCGGAATGTCTGAGCTTTTTTATTAAAGCTGAAGACTTCAAGAGAATGTACTTGATTTGCATGGGGTATAATTCTTTAGCTTTAGACTGGACTCCCTTACTTCAATAATTTATATACATATGATGATATTGGCAGATATTTTAAGCTTTTCTCTTTTATGACAGTCTGAGATACCATTCTCGTGGATTTCACTCTTTTGTAAAGTATCATGTCCAATCAGCTCTGAAGTAACATATGTATCTTCATAAATGATGTTATGATATCTCAGTAATGTATTCCATAGTACAGACAGCTAAAAAAAATTCATATTGACTGGGAAGAATGGCAAGACTATTATCCTGAATTTTCATGTTATCAGCAAGTCAGCACAAAGTCAGTTTGGTCAAGCATATCTAATGTAAATTGCCTGTCTCTTGAAATTTTTCAGCTCTGGTCACCTGCAAGCAAGCTGCACAACATGCATTTTTTCTTGATTAAAATTCAAAATTTAAGATATAGTAAAAACAACATAAAAATAACTAACTACATGACTGAAGTAACAATTCTGAGTCCCCCTCCACCCCCAAAAAAAGTGAAAGTAGTGGTGGCAGTATAGGTTCATTGTAATGGTACTCTTTGAACTTACCATAACCTTCCTTAAGGTGTAGCGTTTGGATCTAATGTCATCCATTAGCATTTCATAGGGTGTGAGCTGATATTCTATTGGAAGCGGGTTATACTGACGATCTTGAACCTTCTTAAGTTTAACACCATTTCGCAAATCTCGCATCACCTGTACCCAAAAGCAGGCCTGAGGATCCAAAGACGACAAATAAGGTTTCAGAGCACTTTTACACTCATTACTATTGAATATCAATGCAGTTTAAATAAAAATAGCTGATTCATCACATCAGACCACCATTAAACCAACTAAATAAGACTAAAATTATTTAATTTTTTACATCAATGCAGTAGGTGGGTAGTACAGTGGGTTTGAAAATTAGAAAACAAATCTGATGGACTTCACTAACAGAAATCCCAAAATCATAATGTAATTCAGCATGATCAGCACTCTAAACTCAATATATGCTCAAGGTGAAAAAAAGGAGGACACTGCAGATAGAAGTGAAGTGCAACGACAGAGCTATATAAGAAATTTGTACATAATTTGATCACTTTACTTGTTTGTGTGAATGTGTGTTTCTCTTTCTCTCTCTTTCACACACACACGCGACTGACCACGCAGTATAGTACCTAGATACTATGGTAATGGGAACCTTACTTTTATATAAAAAAAGAAGATGTTCCCAATGGAAATTAACTGCACAATCAGACATACCACAACTCCCACAGGCACTCTTAAGCTCTGGTTGTCACATCATTATCATATAAACTATGAGGCCATGTCTTCACTCTGGGGAAGACTTACGCTGCCATGATCGATCTTCTGGAATTCTGTTTAGTGGGTCTAATAAGGACATGTTAAATCAAACTTAGAGGGTACCCCTACTGGGTAGCCGGTACTTCTGTTGCTGCAAAGAGTAAGGGAAGCCAATTGGAGTGTTTGTTCCTGTCGGCCTCCTGCTGTGGGGATGGCAGGGAAACTCGAATCAAGATATGTTGACTCCAGCTATGTAATTACGTAGCTGGAGTTGCATATTTTGATTCGACCTTCCCCTTTAGTGTAGATCTGGCCTTATAGATATTTCAGGCCCAATCCCTTACATGTGAGTGGAGTCTCGCTGCCTTTACTGCTACCCCTACAAGTATAAGGATATGCTCATGTGGAACTCTTTACAGAATCAGGATTTAGATAGAATATGTTGTAAGGGACCCTTAACGTCATGTACATCTGTAAAGTTTCTAAGCACACTATATATAAATAAAAGCCAATACATTAAGAAACAACTAATTCCATTTTCCTTATCCACAGAGCTATTATGCAGAAGCTTTCAGCAAGTCTTCAATAGGTAAAACGTTTGGGAGACTTCTTTATAAGTTATGCCAGCTCTATTCCTTTTGTTCCTTTTAGTCACTCAAAAGCCCTTAACAACTTCACAACATGGAGACACTTATATCCATTTAGGGAGGGCTGGAGGCAAGTCCTTTTGGAATTAGTTATTGCTCTGCCATGCACTAGTCATTATGATAGCTAGATGCAATATGAGACATCCCTTCCTCCAGATGCTCTAGTAACACTTCGGTTTTGCTTCTGCTTCTCTGGAAATCCATAGCTCATCTTTGATTTCTGCATGGCCAGCATTATGAAATGTTGCCAGTATAGCAATAATCAAAATTTTCATCATTTTAATGGAAAAAATGTCCTCGTGCAAGTTCAGTAGAATCATACTGAATTTCAAAACTAGAAGAAAACAGCAAGCAGATAATGTTTCCTGCTACTAATGGCAGTATGGAATTTCATTTGTTTTTCAGTTGTGTTCATTTGTTTTTCAGTTGTGTTGACTACTAATTCATACTATAGAAACAAAAACACTTAATTTTTTTTAGGAGTTTTTTTTTTTTTTACAGAGGAGCAGGTGACAGTAAGCAAGCAAGTTAAGAACATTATATTTTTTCCATCAAAATATACACTATTGACTATGATTGTAAATGACTAAAGACTTACCCAATCAGCATTTTTCAGCTCATCAAGGTCTGTGCTGGATTCATTACCTGCTACTTTGTCCATTTCCTGAATCTTCTTCAGACTCTGTCAGTTAAAAGCAACATAGAAAGTGAAAATAAACTGTATAAGAATATAACACTTTATTTCAATAAAGTAGAAAAGATTTTTCTAAGGTAATAAATATACTTTATAAACAAAGAGCAATCCTTTGGCACCATAGGGTACATCTATAGTAAAGTGGAAAACTGAAGCAGCCACTGTCAATCTTCTAGGGTTCAAATTAGCAGGTCTTGTTAAGACAGCTAATGCGAACTGAGAGGGGCACTCCGGTCCTGCTTCCACGAGGAGTAAGGGAAGTCGAAGGAAGAGTGTTCTCCCTTCGACTTCCTGCATTGTGGACAGTGCCAAAAGCTGTGTTAAGCTACTTTGAATTCAGCTACGCAATTAACATAGCTGAAGTTGTCTTAATTCGACTTTGTCCTGTAATATAGACGTACCCCTAGAGACTAACAATAATATATATAATACCATGAGCTTACATAGGCAAAACCCACTTTTTCAGATGACTGGAATAATACGATTTCTTAATGCTTGCATGAAAGCTCATGTATGTTAATGATGATAAAATAAAAAGTTTAAAAAAAGAAAATGTCCCTCTCAATGTACGCAAAGCTATTTAATATAGAGACAAACTTTCAGGCTATATCTACACTACAAGGCTTTTGCGCAAAACCCGTGGAGCACCAACACTTCAAGCACGTATTTGGGTTAAAAAATCTACAGTCAGTCGACAAAACAGAGGACTTTTTGTGGTGTAGGTATACCTCCTTCGACGAGGCATAACTCCTTTTTGTGCTACAGCTCTTGCACAAAAAAACATGGTTGGACGCTCTACAGGGGTTTCTTGTGCAAAAAGAGCCTATCTGAAAAAGCACAGGTGCTCTGATGGCCATTCTATGAATGGCCATCAGAGCTTTCTTGCACAAGAGTGTCCAGGCAGTGTCTTCTGTGCAAGTGCAAAAGCACATGGCTTGTGCGATGCACTTTGAGGTCTGGACATGCTTCTGTGCAAGAAGTTTTTGCGCAAGAACTCTTCTGCATAAGGCTTCTTGCGTAAAAACCCTGAACCGTAGACAAAGCCTCAGATTTTGACTAACCTAAGAACAATGATTGAATGCTACAGTTAGTCACAGCATGGTTTTATTGAATTACCTAACATTAAAATTAAAAAATATGTGCAATTCAAGATTTAAATGGACTCTGTGCAATTTTGGAAATAGTCTCTCACTCTCACAATTCTGCCTCCCTCCCACATTTATAGAGAATTCAGCTTTGAAATTGAATACTTGAGAGACAAACATGGAAACTTACTATGCAGTCTTTACAGACAGTTTCAGCCTAGAACTGCACTTTAACGTGGTTTTATTTACATTTTCCATTTTTTATTCATTCATTTTCATGGAACATAACCGGCTCAAAATGACTGTTCATTAAACCTCTTGAGTTTACATTAGGAAAATAAATCAATAGGTTACAGATCTGGAAAAGTTTAAATTATTTATGCATGTAGCATAAATACAGCCAACAATACACTTGATGATCACTATAATGGAAGTAATCAACAGAGTCTGTCTTTTTTAACAACACTCAGAAAAAGAAGTTTAAAATATAATTTTCTGTCTTTTGTACATCAGAGTGAAACTGCTTCAGTTTAAATCTTTGACCTAAGCCTCAGAAGACCCTTACACAGCCATATCACATGATTCCTTTGCATTTTAAAAATTATTTTGCTACAGAGTATTTGAGAAAGAGTACAGGATAGCAATTACTTATTATTATCTTTAATGTGTAACAGCAGAATATTTACTTTCACAGCTAAGTTCTTCACACCATTACTGGCCTGTTTTTTTAATTACATAAATTACAGGTAGACTCTTGAAAATCTATATAATTTCTATGACACAAAATCTAATGGCCAAATCCCGAAAATTTGGCATGAGTATAGAGTAGGAGAGGATTTTGGTAAAATTAAATTTAGAAGATATTAGATTGCTTCTAGTTGTTCTGACAAATTTGATCTCATGCAATCATCTTACTCATTGGTTCAAATTTAGCTTGCCTCATTCATGGACATGAACTACGTTTGTTTCCTTTTACAACATGCTCTTGTGAAGAATGATTTTTTTTCTTTGAACACAGATGTCAGTAGAAACTAGCATTATCATAATCCTAAAATGCAGTTCTTCCAGTGCCATTCAAGTTAGTTTGTGATTTAAGGACATAAGAGTTAGATACTTCTAACTGTATAACCTAACATTTTTTAAATGACTTCTTTTATTAAAATTACCTCAGAGCTAAGTATGGGTTTTAAACTTGTAAATAAGCTTCTGAGGTGGCCTGAATATGGCAGTTAACAACATATTCTTAGCTACTGAGTAATAATTTTAATAGTAAAAAAATAAAACAAAATAAAAACTATTGCACATGACAGGATCCTGGCAAATTTAAAACTTCAAGAAATTCTCAAAGGGTAGACATAACTTTAATTCAATAGTTTTGGAGAAAATGACTGGGGTTTTTTGATTAATCTAATTAGAAACATATGCAAGCAAACATTTAATTATCTTCCCCACTGCTACACATCCAAATAGTTCTTCTAGTCCAACGTATGTCCTTTCATCTTTCTCAGAATGTCTCTAAGGCCAAGTCTACACTACCTGAGAAAGTCAACCTAAGATATGACGATACAGCTACAAGAATAGTGTAGATGTAGTCGACGTACCTTAGGTCAAATTCCTGCAGCATCTGCACTGTGGGAGGTCAATGGGAGAAACTCTCCCATTGACTTCCCTTACTCCTTGCAACCTGGAGGAGTACTGCGGTCAACCGGGTGCCTTGAATGGTCTATTTAGCGGGTCCTTACCAGACTCCCTAAATGAAATCCTGGGAGATCGATCTTCAGAGCTTCAATCTTGGGGTAAGTATAGACCTGGCCTAAGTGTATGTACAATTAAAGACCCATGGCATGGCACTGCTGACCTGGGTCAGCTGATGGGCTTGCAGGGCTCAGGCTGCGGTGCCTAAAATTGCTGTGTAGACATTTAGGCCCATGCTGGTGTCCAGGCTCCAAGACTGAGCAAGTGGGGAGCATCTCGGACCCCAGGCTCTAGACTGATTGCAAATGTTTAAATTACAATTTTTACCCTTGCTGCCCAAGTCTGAATTAATTGACCCAGATGCAAAGACTTGGTGCAGTGTTTTTTTTTTATTGCAGTGCAGATATATCCTAGCAGACTTAGGGTTGATAACTTTCTATTTGCAGAAAACCAAACACCCTTGCCCTGCCCCTTTTCAAAGGCACCCTTCGCTCCCTCCCTCATTCTTCTCTCCATTGCTTGCTCTCCCCCTCACTCACTCATTGGGCGGGAACAGGGGGTTGGGATATGTGTGTGGGGGAATTGGTGGTGACGGCTCTAGCTGCAGGTATGGACTCTGAGGTGAGGCTAGAGATGAGGAGTTTGGGGTGCAGCAGTGGGTTCCAGGCTGGGTAAGGTGGTTGGGGTATGTGGGGGGTTCTGGATCAAAGGCATGGGCTCTGGGATGAAGCTATATCACTCATTGGGCGGGAACAGGGGGTTGGGATATGTGTGTGGGGGAATTGGTGGTGACGGCTCTAGCTGCAGGTATGGACTCTGAGGTGAGGCTAGAGATGAGGAGTTTGGGGTGCAGCAGTGGGTTCCAGGCTGGGTAAGGTGGTTGGGGTATGTGGGGGGTTCTGGATCAAAGGCATGGGCTCTGGGATGAAGCTATAT